ATTAGAAAAAAGAACATAATTTGACCCATAATATATACTAACATTAAAAATTTTGAAACTGTCTACTGTAACAAAAATAAATTTTACCAATCAATTGATTAACTGATAATAATTCATTAATTTTTATAATTTATAATTTTTTTTTAATATTGTAATAAAATTTGTGAATTTGTAATTCACGTACGTGAAATTCAAATTAGCAATCAAAATTTCATATCCAAACACCCCACCCCAAAATTTTAATTATAGATTTCTAAAAGATAAAGTATTGGTTTTGTTTTAAAATTTGGTATATACACAAAATTTTTGGTTCCTAATAAATCGTCGAATACTAATAGATTTGACCCTATTAAACCTAACCAACCTTTTTGATGTGTATAACAATTTGTCCCTAACATTAAAATTGACCTTATTAGTGATTGTTAAATTTGTATTTGTAATTTATAAATAATTTGACCCTATTATAAGTTTTCTAATCCTATGTAAGTTGTGAGGGAGGATCTAATTACAATAAAAAAAGTACTAGAAAGATTTTTTTTTAAAACCAAAATTTGTTTCCATTTACTATTTTATTGGAGGAGTTTTTTGTTATTATAGTTTGTTAATATTAACTATATAAATTGGGCGACCAACTTTAAAGGTAAAGGTAAATTAATAATTTATTTTAATGCTGAAATTTATTATATATATTTTTTCTAACGTGAAATGAGTATTTCTCTATCATTCAATGATATAGCTATTTAATTATAAGCAACACAAACAAAACAGGATGAGCAGATAAATAATTAGATCATTTGAGATTTTACTGGTTCGTAAAAAAAAAAATCGGAAGCATTTTTTCAAACGTGACGAATTTCAAAACTGCGGAACGATACGTCCACACGGAAAAAAGTTGATCTGATTTAATATGATACATCATGGAAAAATGTTGTTGACAATTGGATGAGCCTTTTATTATTTATTAGTTTGTTAATTATATATAACTAAAGCTAAATTAAGAATCTATTTTAATGCTGAAATTTGTTATATGAATATATTAATTATAAGAACACAAACAGAATGAGTAAATATGTTTATTATTATTCTGTATATAATTAGATGTTTAGAAATAATATTTTTAACATTTTAAAAAATCAGTATAGATTTTATTAATTTGAAACGACCAAACATTGAATGCCAATTTAAAAATGCAACATTAAAAGTTATATCAATTGACCTTGAAAATCTCCTATTATATCACAAATTTATATCACAAAAATGAAAGATTTTATATTATGTGAAAACTATTGGTTTGATGCGTTAGTGTGACCCACATTATTACTATACTAGTAATTACAGTTAATTACCTTACCATCATTACTTACCATTATCTGTTATTATTATTATATTTATTATATAGTTAAAAACACCCGAAATTATGTCAAATTTATGTATTAAAATATATTATCAATCATTTGGAAAAATCTGCGAAAAAATGAAAGAATGATAATATTATTGATATAAATAAAGCAAAAAATTTCGAAAACGAAAATTTTGTTTTTTTTAAAAAATAATTACAGTATAATCATTAATAAATAAATTCAATAAAATAAACTCATAACTAATCATAACCAATATATAATAAAAAACTAAATCCATAATCAACATATATATAAAAAAACCAAATATGCACGGAAATTATTCTAACAATAATATTGATATTAATGATTTTGATGTTAATAATCAAGACTTTGTTCCTAATGATGACGGCAACTACATTCATCAAAACCCCGGAGACAATAATTACATCCATCAAACTCTTGGAAACAATTACATTCATCAAACTCCTGGAAACAATAATCACATTCATCAAAACCTTGGAGACAATAATTACATTCATCAAACTCCTGGTAACAATAATTACATTCATCAAAACCTTGGAGACAATAATTACATTAATCCAACTACTGGAAATAATTACATTCATCAAAACCCTGGAGACAATAATTACATCCATCAAACTCCTGGACAAAAGTATCGGAACACTTGCTTTTGTTAATTGCGCAAAAATATACATAATAAACATGTATGAAATTTATA